GGGCGGGGGGGACAGAATATTTGAAACACTAATGACAGACTTTCCCCAAACTAATGTCAGACCACAAACCCAAGAGGCTAAGAAAACACTGAGGAAAATGCCAGAGAATCGTTAAGTAGGCAGGATCGTACTCGAACCACAGAAAATTAGAGAAGAGTTCTTGAATGAAACCTCCAAGGCAGACCTGTAAACTACAGTGCGCAGAACCCACCTTCACAGGCAAAGAATTCATTACTTCCCATTCATCCTCAGAAACCGTGCAGAGAAGAAGGAAATGGAATGAAATATTTTTAAAGTTTGGAGAAAAAAACACCGCCTAGAATTCGTCCCCTGTGAAATTATCCTTCAAAAGGGAAGAACTAAAGACTTTCTCAGACAAAAATTCAAAGAATTTGTTGCCATGCTCCTGCCTCACAAAAAATGCCGAAAATTCTTTAGAGAGAAAATCTATATATAAATCAGAAACCCTGAGCTACATAAAGAGCATCAAACAGCGAAGACCGAAGTGAAGGTAAGGTGAGAACCATCCCTTCTGAGGGACACGCTTTCCGTAGCCGACACGTCCCCTCGGGCACCAGGCGGGCTGGCCAGGGCTTTCCCGGTGCCTGCAGGGGTTACGCAGCGTTCGCTCAGCGGTGACGGGGCTCAGGCACCAGCTCCCCGCCTTCTGGTTCTAGAGAAGCTTCCACCCGGTGCTCCCCGCGTGCTTTCTACCCGTCAGGCCACTCAGGGCCCTGAAGCTTCCACAGCGAAAGACAACACCACCTCCCGGGGAGTTTCCAGTCTCATGGGCTTCACGTCACCCTACACACCGACAAACACGTACAGCCAGTGAGTGGTGCTCAGGGAGTGTGTGAAGATACTAAGGCAATACAGTTACCTGAGCAGGCCATGATCTCTGCTGTGTCAGCATTCAATTAGGTAGGTGTGTGACAGAAAAAGCACGTTTTGATACTGAGGTAGGGAAAATAGTACCTTTTTAAATGACCCCTGCTACTTACTAACTTCGACAATGGTAAGTTTAATTTAGCCTCTTTCAGTCTCAATTTCCTCATTTATAACTAAATGACACTGTATGCACAAAACCAAGAAAATAGCCTAAGTCAAATAAATGTAAAGACCAAACTACTGATTCAGAAACAGGCATCGTTTCCAGTGTCTGACCCCTCAGTGGGTAAACTTGTTTTATCAGAGCTGTACTGCAACATAAAAAAATGGTCTTAAAACCACCTGCGCCTCAGGAAGAAAAGGCGCTCACAATACAATGGCAACTATCTTTTAAAGGTGAGTGAAATACAGCCACTTACAAACAGGAGCAAAGACCGTATTAGTGGATACGGTTCCTACTACAACTTCCAGTATTTCTACTTTAAAGCTCGGCAAAAGGGTCTAAAAACCACTGAGATGTTCAAGTGTCTCCACGTCCAAACCCAGGCTTTTTCTTCCTGAGCTTCCCCAGAACCTGGCCCAGACGAGCAGCGCCCCCCGCCCCGGGCGGGCCCGGCAGCCGCTCACCAGTGGGAACAGTCGTGCAGGCTGTCGTGCAGGGCTTTCCGCAGCACCGAGTCCTTGTCGTAGATGCCCCAGGTCGCTTGCAGCACTGAGTCCAGCAGGCAGTCCCCCGCCGTCCGGTTCCAAAGGGCGTAGAGCCGACTGTCCAGGCGCGTAGCCAGCTCCAAGGACCAGTTTATGATGGGAGACTCCTCCTCCAGCTCTAATGAGGGAGGGAAACAGCAGGTTCTTGTCACACCTGCTCAGAGCGACTTGACGGAGGAGAGAGCTTACTCTCTAGGTGTCAGTGGGTTTGTGTGCCATCTACGAATAAACACCTAAATCAATTTGTCAGGTGAAATATAAACCTTTTGAGGAGCCCAAACAGCTGTGGCTCTAGGTTAAATTATTTATTAATTAGTTACATTATTCACAATTAATTTTCTGAAGTCATATGGAATAAGAAGCTGAAAACCAGTTGAACACCTTTTACACTGTTATTTGTTCACTGTCACAGCTGAGAATGAGCCTTTAACAGCACACACGACATCCTTAAGGATTTACGTTTTTAATTTAAGTAAAAATAAAACAACGTGACCGTACACTAAAGGACTGCAAACCACTACTCGGCCAAGAACAGAGTTTCCGGAACGGAGGGGGCCCCCACGCTGCCCCACGCCTACCTTTTTGAACATCTCTGTCCAGCACCTCATCAAACACCTTTTCTTGGACAGTCGGAGGCAAGTCCTCAATATCTACAAAGAAAAGGAGTCTTAGGAAGTCTTCCTATGTCTCACATCCAAGTTGCCACTTTATTTTTTTTAAAAAATATATTTCATTGATTTTTTACAGAGAGGAAGGGAGAGATAGAGAGTTAGAAACATCAATAAGAGAGAAACATCGATCAGCCGCCTCCTGCACACCTCCTACTGGGGATGTGCTCGCAACCCAGGTACATGCCCTTGACCGGAATCGAACCTGGGACCTTTCAGTCCACAGGCTGATGCTCTATCCACTGAGCCAAACCGGTTTTGGCCAAGTTGCCACTTGAATATCTGTTCATTTTATGTCAATCACAGCTCAATAAAGATGAGATAAAAGGACAAAAAATAATAAGGCTATCTGATATTCAATAATAATAATAACGACACGAAGTTTCATCTATTCTCTACCCACATTCTCAGTCTCTGCGCAGGCCTGTTAATTTTTCAGACTTTAGAGCCCTCTTATAAAAGTTACTGAACCAGCCCTGACACAGCGGGGCTCAGGGGTTGAGCAACCCATGAACCAAGAGGTCGCTGGTTCGATTCCCAGTCAGGGCACGTGCCCAGGTTGCAGGAGGCAGCTGATCAATGATTTTCTCCCATGTTGATGTTTCTCTCTCTCTCTCCCTCTCCTTTTCTCTCTCAAAAAATCAATAAAAACGTATTCTTTTAAAAAGGCTTAGTTATTATCTCCTACCATTTGTAAATGCTCCTGTTCACATCTGAATATAAAAGCTGAAAACACTCAGAACCAAGATGGAAGATACTTTTGAAACTTTTGGTGTTTGGTGCATTTATTGAATGAAAAATGAAAAGTTGCTTTAAAGATATAGTAGAAATCAATGCAACAAGAAAGTAAATGATCCTTTCAAAAGAATGCCAGTATCTTTGATTCAAACAACTTGATTCTTTTTTAAAAAATATATTTTTTTATTGATTTCAGAGAGGAAGGAAGAGGGGGAGAGAGAGAGAGAGAGAGAAATATCAATGATGAGAAAGAATCATTGATTGGCTGCCTCCTGCATGCCCCACATTGGGGACTGAGCCGGCAACCCGGGCGTGTGCCCTTGGCTGGAATCGAACCTGGGACCCTTCAGTCTGCAGGCCAATGTTCTATCCACTGAGCTAAACCATCTAGGGCAAACAACTTGATTCTTAATTTCAAAATATTAGGCATGAAAAGAAGAAGAAGAAAAAAAGTAGACTGATAATACTTTAAAATAAAACCAAAGGGAAAAACAAATGGGTTCGGCAGATTTTTAAAATATGTGAGGCCCACAAGGCAGTCAGTCACCAGTGGCTGTCCTCCTCCCAGATCCACTGTAAGTTCACGAGTCGCTCCTGCACTGGTCACTTCCAGTAAACACAGGAGAGTGAAGTAACTGCCGATGCACACATAAAGCTTCCTGAGAGAAACATTCTCTAGACATAAAAAATTACTGTAATAGTGGAAGTGTTTTCCCACTGCAATGTGGAGTCACCTGCCGGCAGCGTGAACGTGACCAGGTCGGTGAGGAAGTAGCAAGCGAAGTCCCCCTTCCGCTGGTGGAGAGAGGCCGCGATCTCCCGCCGGATCTGCTCCGTCAGCTCGGGACACACCATGGCGGGGATGCACTTGGCTGCTTGCTGAGACACCTTCAACACAAAGACACGTTCCTCTGCACCCTGTGCCAGCAGGAGCAGACGACACCAGTGTTCAAAGGGCTTCCCAGCATCCCCAGGAACGGAGGCGGTATTTTGTTTTTTGAATTTTAAACTGCGCTGGGTATGGTATAATTTCCCTGCCAGTGCAGGGGCATCAGTACATCATCCCAGGAAAACAGCCAGTTAGCCTCTGGCTCAGTAATTCCCAAGAATTTATTCCCAAGGAAATATACAAAGGTGTACATATGAAAACATATGTAAAATGGTGGTGTTCCCAAAGGCTCATCCTAGGAGGGGAGGGAGGACAGTACACAACCTACATTGAGGCTACCCATCATTCCCCCAATAAAAACATTCTTAAAAACGGAATTCCAGCACATGGGGAAAGGCAGAAACACTCCTCTCTCCCACTCCGCTGAGACTGTTTCAAGTACCCTGACCTGGAATAAAGCAAACACGCTATTTATAAAGGGTTAGTGCCTGCTGACTTCAAGGCCCTCCCCATCTCTATAATTCTGGATTTTTACAAAGCACCTGGCTTCCCCACGGGCGGAACAGACAAGACAGCAAACGCTGGAAGCCCGGCCCTCAGGAGAGAAACAGGAGCGCTGGGCAGTGAGCCCCGCACAGAGCCGGCCGGGAACGGCTAGACTCTCCTTTTAAATGACCAACAGCAACAGATGATGGAAAGATGTCACTTCCCACTGAAGCTGGGCTCCTGGCACGCAGAGAATGCCGGGTCAAGGCTGATATCGACAGGAGGCAACGCGTGAGTCCGGGGTGGCCAGACTGCAGCCACGACCCAGCGGGCTTCCCGAATGGAAGGTCCCAATCTTCTAATAAGCCGCCAGAGAGTAAGCTTTACGGATCATGTCATCTACGTAATATATGCAGAGAGCTCAACTGTAACTGCTATTAAGGGAAGTAAACAGTTTCAAAAACCCTGCATCCCCCACGCAGCCACCCGTCGTGTCATTCTGAAACGCTCCATGACAATTCGGTCCCACTGACCCGGTGGTCGGCAAACCGCGACTCGCAAGCCACATGCGGCCCTTTGGCCCCTTGAGTGTGGCTCTTCCACAAAATACCACGTGCGTGTACAGTGCGAAGTTGACTTAAAACTTTAAGTAAAGTCTATTAAGTTAATTTTAGGGAACGTTGTAGAATGAAAGAAGATGTAGTGTCAAGGATTGAAAAAGGTATGTTGAGATGGTTTGGATATATAGAGAGGATGAACGAAAGGAGATAGATGAAACAAGTACACAAGACGACTGTGGATGGGAGAGTTGGAAGGGGTCGACCTCAGCGAATGTACCTCCATCAGACTGAGGACTTTTTAGCAAAGGCCAGCTTAGGAGGACCCTAATTAAGTTAATAACAAATATTAAATATGCTCAGAAAATAACTGCCTGTTTCACACCAGTGTTAAAATGAATCCCAAAAGTAAGTTAAAATTAGCTTATTCCAACCTGCCAACCTTCGGTCCCTTTCCGAAAATCTGGGGAATTTTTCCAAAAATGACTGGACTGAAACAGGAAAGCTGCCAACAGCTGGAGGCTGGCCTCCCCGTCCCCTGCGCCCTGCCCTGGAGCATGACTGTCCCTGAACCCTGCCCCCAACTCTGGCCTCTCCCACCTCAGGACTCAACCATCTCCTTAGGCCAGTAGCCCTTAACTTTGGGCCGTGAACTTGGGCAAGGGCCCATGAACTTGAATAGCAATTTTAATTAAATTTAAATCCTACATTTTTACTAACCTTGTGCCTAAATTTAAAAGGCATTTTCTTATATATCACAGATTTGATTTAGCATTGTGATAACTGTATTTCAATATACAGTTGAACCTTGAACAACACGGGTTTGAACTGCGTGGGCTCACTTACATGTGGGCTTTTTCAATGAGTACTGTAAATGTGTACAAGGTCATACCCCTTTTTTAGCAGTGCCTGGCACATGGTAGGTCCACAGTAAATATTTGTTAGTGGAATGAATAACAGATACATCCCAGTTTTTAAGTCAAGTATAACTCAATATTGTGGCAAAATGTCCTGTTTTAAAGCATATACCCTTAAAAATTATATACTGTTTAAGTCTCAAGCTTAATATAATTTTTTAAAGGGGATAAAAGAATCTGAAACATTTCAGAACTGTTTAGAGAAACATTGTAAGAACTGTTGGAGAAACACTGTCACATAAAAAAAAAGGAACACACAAGAGAAAAAAACAGAACACATTTCCGCCGTAAAAAGTGTTTCTGCTGAACTCACCTCCGTGAGCAGGATGGCGAGCATGTCCTGCCGCTGGAAGCGGATGGCCAGGTGCACCAGCGTGTAGCCCACGTCGAAGGCGGACGGGC